GGGGCAGGCCGAACCCGCCGAGTTCCCGAAAGAGAGTGACACCGGATCGAGCATCCAGGGTAGCAACGTCAAGGGATCTAGAGCTCGACCCGTTGGAGAGCATCCTTCCTTTTTTGCAGGAAGAGCGTTCGCTTCCCTGCCGGGAAGCCGGCGGTGGGCGGTCCGGGTTCGTGGCCAAAGGAGAGAGAGCCCCGATGGCGAGGAGGACCGCCGTCCACCATGGACAGCTCCTGGCCGCCGCTTCCCTTCCGGCGCGGCTGGCAGCAGCCCCTCGCCGCGGCTCGCTCTCTCTCCGCGAAAAATAAAGCCGCTCCGCCTCTCCCTGGGGAACCGCCATCGAGACCAGAGGCCGGGAGATTTGACGTCAGGGATCGCTTTCGTCGTCTTGACGTGTAAACACTCCTTCCCATTCTGGCCGTGGCGGGTTTGAGAGCGGCTCCAGCAGGAGAAGCCGGGCAGAAGAGGGAGGACCTGCCATCGCGGCAAGACACGCTTTCTGGTGACCCTGCCCGCTCCCCTGGCTTCTCTTCGCCGGATCGCGTCGCTACAAGAGGAGAAAGAGACCCCCCCCTTTTGAAAGAAAGAAAAGAAAAGAAAAGAAAGAAAAAAGGAAGAAAGATAATAGCACAGTCTCGATTTCTCCAACTGTTTGATTTTTTAAACACACACACACACACACACACACACACACACACACACACATATCTATACGGTATCAGTGTCTCCTGCTGCTCCTGCTCGTGTGTGTCTTTCTGCCTCTCCCTTTTCTCTCCCGCTGCCATGGCAAGGAGATGCTGGGCAGGGCAATGCCTTATCGTGGCTCTCTTTTGCGCCTGGACGGTGGCCATCCTGGCCAAGGCAGAGAGACAGTTTGTCAATGAATGGGCAGCCGAGATCCCGGGAGGTCCAGAAGCTGCAAAGGCCATAGCAGAGGAACTGGAATATGAGCTTCTGGGGCAGGTAAGGCTCACCCCCCTTCCCCTCCCCATCCACTCGTCCTCCTCTTGGGGGAAGCTAGACGCATTTATTTCTCCCGCTTCTCCCAACCCAAGGGGGGGGTGAGAGAAAAGGGCGCCCAAGTCTTCCCTGTGCAATTGACTGACGGTGTAATTGACCAGAGCTGGCATTGGTACCGTTGGTTCTGTCGGAGGAAGCGGACGGAACTGATCAAATGGTCCTTGCCATAGACAGGGTCCCTTCAGCCATCTGTTATTGTTGTTATCCTTGTTTTTTGTCAAGAGGGGAGGGGTTCTTACTGAGGTCCCTTGGAAAAGTTTTCCGATCTCTCTCTTGACCGATCTTTCCATACTATCGTCCTGGCTTGATTTCCGCCCCACCAGCCTCCACCACCCTCTTGAATATGGCAGCCCTTCAGCCAGAGAAGGCTTTCATGTCATGCATGGGCTAAAGGACTGCACAATCCATTGAGCTCTGCAACCCTTTGCTTCCTGGGAGACCAGACAACGTGCAGTGGAGTGTGGAGGGGCACAAGAGGCAGATGTTGGAAATTGCAAGGCAGGGAGCAGAGAGGTGAATGCTTACTAGCAGGAAACCCTTGCAGGGAATCTAAGTTTGCTTTGCCTAAACTCTTGCAGTTCTCTGAGTAAAGCTGCAGAAGGAATGATGCCTTCTTTAGGCAGTTCCCTTTCCCAGAACTTCTTATTTGCCAAGGACTCTCCTTTGAGACCTGTGGAAAACCCATTCAGAGGGGAGTGCCTTACGGGGCAGTCACAAGTACCTGGGTTTATGCAAAGAGATTCTCTGCCTATAGGTACAATTGATCTCCAGCTGCCCTTCCTCCTCCTCTTCAACAAACGGGTACAGTGGTGTGGGCTAGAAAGAACGGGTCCATTTGCTACTCAAAGTTTTCTGCTCTTGTAGTGGTTTTGTGCTTCCCAGCTTTGGGGGGGGGGAATGCAGTGTCAATGGGGAAAAAAAAAATAAGCCCCGGACCTTGAATACTTCAAAGTGTTATTCCATGAGGAATTTCCCCCAGATGCGCTCCTCTCCCTCACCCCCCATTTTAGCGTGGCATGACGTCACGGTTGTCAAGGATGAGTAACTTCATTTACGCAATAGCAGCAGGCTTGCCTCTGTTGTCTTGCAGAGCTTGCTAACTGTATCCTGCACTCCATCCCTTGACTTCCACAGAGAAGAAACCAAACTCCTCTGAGCTGGTTTCTAAAGAAACAGCCAAATGTGTCTCTGTGCTTGTCCAAAAGACAAGCAGTGAGGGTGCTCAAAACCAGAAGGCTGGAGATCAAAGTCTAACAGCCACTTTCTTTTTTATTACCCTCATTTGCCACTGCCATGAACAAGGCTGGTTATCCGGGCTGACAGCATATTTAACACATTTTCCACCCTACAAGGAGTGACTAATGGCTGGATTCAGTGAAGTGCTGGGCTGACAAAGCCAAAGTGTGTGTCAGAAATGATGCACTGCTGTGCCCTAGTCACTGTGTCAGGAGCAGGGGCTGACCCAAATGTTGTGTTTCACAGCAGTGGGTGTTGACCAAATTGCATTGATGGCAAGCCAAACCATCACGCAAAAGCAGAGCAGGAGTACCCAGATCTGCTAGGTGATACTGGAACTACAGTAATCAACAAGACATTCTGTAGACCTTTGGATGGCCAGGAAGTCAGCTATGCTGGCACAGAGCAATTGCCCGATAGAGGGTTACTGACATTATACCCTATATTGACCAGTATCAATATCCTGTATCAGCCAATGGCAGGAGTACAGGATATACTTGGCTATTGCAAAATGTTGTTGCAACTAATAAGACAGCACATTGAAATGAAATCAATCTCCTTATTTTGTGCAGGATGAAATGTTGGAGGATGTGTGTGTGGTATACAATGGAATCAATTCTGGACTGGTTGTTTGTGCAGTATGTTGGTGTGCATCACTGTAGGTCCGTACATGTCTAAAACCAGGTTTCTTGTGTAGCACACCAGCTCATTCCCCCAACACGATAATACCTCACTTAATACAGAGGACTTAACTTGAGCCAGTGAGGATCAAAGCTCAGTATGAGAATTTGATTTTATCTCTGAAATTTGTGAAGTCTTAATTAAGGCAAGGCCACTGATTTGGAGGGCAGGTTTTCCAGGTTGGCGGGTATGGTGACTGCCCACGTCACTCATGCCATTCATAAGGTGTGGTGACTGCCCACGTCACTCACGCCATTCATATTCATGAGCTGATTTGCATGAACCTATGAGACGGATGGAGAGGCGGAGTCAGCAGCTACATGAGGCTTGGCGGGAGAAGGAGGAGTCAGATAGGGCTGGTTAGTCAGAGGGGGGGAACAGATACTGAGAGAAATAGAGCTGGTTAGGAAAATAAGTAGAGAAGGTGGTAATGATATAGCAAGAGAAAAGAAGTGTGTACTGAGAGGACTGTTGATGATTTGCTTATGTATAATGTGTATCTGAGAGACTTCTGTTATTATCCAATCTGCTTCACTTCAATAAATAAGTTGTTTCTGTTCACAAGTGTTCTGACAAACATCATTTATATTGTGGATTGAAGTAATCCACTGGTGGCAGAGAGGAGAACGCGACATGAGCCTTTGTGAGGGAAAAACAAGCAGGGGCCACTAGGGCAAAAGCCACGGCAGGTATACTGCAGCTCCACATTCAGTGAGAATCCTTTCAACAGTTCTCATTTTAGAACTCATATGCTGACCACATTCTATGCATGCATTTTAATTTGAACAATGCAGTGTCTTTGACAATATTCTGATTTTGACATTTGAGACCTAATGACCTGGAATATTACAATCTTAAACAGGCACATATAGTAGCAAAATCATGTATACCATGTAACTGGAAATTTTGTCATCTAAACTGGAACACTGGAGGGATGCGATTGTGTGGGAACTGATTCAGCAAATGCAGCAATGTGTGTATGTGTATATTTTATGTTCCACTTTTCTCACAGAACTGGGATCCAAGCTGGCTCACAACACGATTAGAAAAGAGGTACAAATAAGAAAGCAGTATTATAATAGTACAAAACACTTGAATTGAAAATAGTTTTAAAAGGTCATCCATTAAAATAATGACAATAATTTAAAAGTACAGGACCTACCCATTCAAAGCCCTGTGCTCAGCAGCCAGTCAACTGCATAAAACCCTGTCTGAATAGAAAGGACTTCGCCTGCCATCAGAAGGACGGCAGGGATTTGACTGGTCTAATCTGCCTTAGAACAAGCAATGAATCCCAATTTTTAAAATAAATATTCCAACAGCATTATTTCCTTTCATTAATTGTATAGAAGCCCTTGAAACATCTGAAATTCCGCTCAAATATGAATATATCTGTCTCTGTCTCTGTCTGTCTGTCTGTCTGTCTGTCTCTCTCTCTCTCTCTGTGTGTGTGTGTGTGTGTTTGTGTGACTCATGATGACCCTTTTCAAGGTTCTCCAGGAAGAAGTGGTTTACTCAGAAGTGGTTTACCATTCTGTTCTTCGGTGGAGGGGGGGGGGAACTTGGAACTGTGCAGTTTACCCAAGGCTACAGAGGCTGGCTTTTCTCCCAGGGAGCACACTGCAGAATTAAAGTCCCAACTTCTGGTTCTGTAGCCAGATACGTAAACCACTGAAATATCCAGCCAGCTCATAATTTCTGAATTCACCCTCCTTAGGAATGCTGTACAGTATTATTTATTTATATTTATTTATTTATTCGATTTTTACCCCACCCCTCTAGACAACGTCTATATACCCAATCTTTTATCAGATAATCAGTTTCTCGTGCAGGTGTCTTAGTTTAATCCCACAAAGATAACTGTGAGTACGTCTACTAAGGATCAATGAACATTTAAATGTTATTAGTGATCTCAGTGTGTTATTTTTGTTGTTGTCTGTATTTCAAAATACAGACTGCATTTCAAAATACAATAATATCCCACGAGAAAAACTTAGAATACAGGGTACCTCCCTAATGAATAATATGCAGTATTTTGATGGCTGCACTAAATGTAATGGTTCATTGACATTTGTTTAAATCTTTATTTCAATCCATTCTAAATAGCATAACAGATTGTGTAACAATAATAGTAAATTTCTTGTTCATAAACTCTTACATCTTTATATATGCACACTCTTTACATTATCTTTTTATCTTTTCATACAGTCTCTTCCTTGGCTCATTATGGCATTTTTATGCCTACTGTAGTTAGTGCCGCTTAGAATAATGGTGCACTGACATGAAATGGACTAGGCTGAGATGCTATTGCCCAGTTTATGTGTTACAAAATCTGATGGAGCTGCCACCAGTAAACCCACATGAGGAAGCTTGTAGCAGAAACCCAAAATATCTCTTTGGCTCCAGTAAATGTCTCTTAGATACTTTGGAAGCAGTGGATGTGGTCATAACTACCAGGATTATTAAGATATTTTGCTGTCTGAGGTAAAGGAAATGATGGTTATATCCCTTTTGGGGTTTAAAAATGTCACTAGTGATGAAGCAAGACAATGATGAGATACTGGAAAACCACAATATTAATATTATTTGGATGAATATCCAGTTTAATTCAGATTCGATGCTATAATCCATTTAATTGTGGTTTAACATTATGGCTTCCATGTTTTTATTAGTACTGTTTTGGATACAGTTATGAGTTACCTTGAGCTCCAGCTTTGAGAGGAAGGTGGGAAATAATCAATGGGACTTCAGTTGAGCATGACTGCTCTAAGTCCATTGATTTCAACAGTCTAAGTATGACAGCCTGGATCCAACTCAAAGAAATTTTTCTTCAGATAGTTGAAGAAATACTGTAATTTAAATTTGGATCACTGTTCCTTGGAAGCACATTCATTTATTTCAAATGAATGCAAAATCATTTTGGCAAACTAGGACCAAAAACTGACATACATACCTTTACTCAAAGGTAAACATCAGTGGATTGAATGGGACTTTTAGATAAGTTCATGTAATGTACTTAGATTACTTTAATGTGATTCCTTCCTTCCTTCCTTCCTTCCTTCCTTCCTTCCTTCCTTCCTTCCTTCCTTCCTTCCTTCCT